GGATATAGCTCGCTAGCAGCCTCGCACCGAGGACCTATCCACGTCACCATTTACCCAGAATGCTTTGTGTGGAAATAAAATGGCTCTGTCCGTGTTAATATATATATTTTTAAAATTTACAAAACTAAACAGCCTACAGTATTTTTACAGTCTTTATTTTACAGTTAAAATAAATGATTATCAAATAGTCTAATGTTACAACTGATCAAGGATCCCTTTAAATTCTGTTTTGACTGAAGTAATGGTAAAGTATAAATAAAAATGATTTTCTGAGGAGCTCCCACACAAACATGCTTACAGCTGTTCAGACCTGAGGCGGAATGCAAATGAGATTGTCCTGTATCCTTCAGAAAGCTGCAGCTGGGACATGTTTCCCACAAAGTTCAATCATTTACATTGCAAATGTGAATGTTTTACACAATAACCTGAGGGTGTGAATGAGGACAGGTGATATCTGTTAGTTTGTGCAAATGAAGGCAGACAGAGCTCCATTCACTGTCCTGTTTGCCTCTGCCTGTGCGTTCTCCCTCAGTGTCCATAGTGTTTGGGATTCCCACGGTGAAGCGGGAGAAGCAGAGTTACCTCATCAACACTCTCAACTCTCTGCTGTCCAGCCTGACAGCTGCCCAGAGCCACGACCTCCTCATTATAGTCTTCGTTGCTGAGGTGAGGCCGACGGTTTTATGTGTAACCTGCTAAAACCTGCAGCTGATCAGAAACATCTTGTGACAAATGAAAGCCGGCCAGGCAGTTGTTAATGTTTGTCTAATAAAGACCTTGTGTTTGTAGTTAATGACATCCTGCTCAAAAAGATGTTTGGTGTGAATCGTGGCCTAATCTGTATCTGACCTTCTTCTGCACCCACTTCGGATGTTATCATCAATGAAATGGAGGTTATTAGGCGTCATCAGTCCCCTAGAATGGCTTCAGAATGTCCCACCTGTGCCAGTTAGCAGGTTCCCCATCCAATAGAATGGTTTCTGATTGTCAGCTGGTTAATATGAGGCATAAAACCACTATCTGGTTAATATGAGGCAATAAAAAATCAGGTTAGTATGAGGCAAAAAGCCACTAAGTTTAACCTCAGAGCTAATGACATGGTTAGCACTAACTTATATTGTGGTCTTCCAATAGGGCAATAGGTAGAGTGTCGGATTAGAGAGGGGGAGACTACAGTTCAAAACCCACATGGACACAAAAAATTTATTATAATACATGTTGGTTATTTACACATTCATTGTCATTGATATATTAACCCACTAGGGGGCACTGTCGGGACAGTCTGAAGCCTAGAAGGCACAGTAGGGATCCTCTGAAGCCATTGTATGGGACTGATAATGCCTGATAATGTCCATTTCATGGACTGATAACATCAGAATCTCTTCTCTCTCTCTCTCTCTCTCTCTCTCTCTCTCTCTCTCTCTCTCTCTCTCTCTCTCTGTGTGTGTGTGTGTCTGCAGACAGACTCAGAGTACGTGTCAAGTGTGGCTCAGACCATCACAGACAGGTGAGGCTGTCCCGTCATATCACTTACTTCCGAAAAGTTGATCTGATTGAACATGAAACATGTTGTCTTTGTAGTGCATTTAATTAAATATATGGGTGGAAAAGGTTTCGCAAATCATTATATTCTGTTTTTATCAAAGTTTTGCACAATGCAGCTTCAATGCAATTGTTGTAAAATTAGCAGAACAGCAAAAGTAGGACAGACTGGACTGTGGTTCATCTGTTATCCCAAACACAAGTTCCCACGTTTAAGAATAAAAACCGGAGAGCTGTCAGCTGATGGTTTTACTGGAGCCGACAGAAGCTGGATCAAGATGAAATAAAAATGTTTGTCTTAGAATCTCTTTTTTTATTTGCACAAGCAGTGTATTCAGTGTCATTGCTCCTTCCTACTGTGTGTTTATTATTTCACTGCAGGGTTTTATCTCTGCTTCACTCATGGTGCAGAGCTCCATGAAAGATTGTGTCAAAAAATAAGTTTTACAAGAAATGACTTGTTGGTTCTTGTCAGTTTTCATCTTTTGTGGCGCTGCATTTCAAACGCCTGTATTTGTTCTGGTTTCAGTGGAACTAAACCAGTTGCAGCGACCTTTTAAAATAAATCAGACTCAGAGTAACGCCTGATGCTTTCATTGACTTCTCTAAAACAAAGTCAGTTCCTGCTTATAATGAACTCTTTTTGTAGTTTTCCTAAGGAGGTGCAGTCTGGTTTGATGGAAGTGGTCTCTCCTTCGCAGTATTATTACCCCAACTTCACCACCCTGAAAGAGACTTTTGGGGACTCCAAGGAAAGAGTCAAGTAGGTGTAAAACCTCAGTTTGTTTCAAATGTTCTCAGCCAGGTTCTTTGTCTTCCCTCCATCTCCATTATGAGTTATGTGGCTGTAGGATCCTGGTCTGCAGGAGCAGGAGGGACAATAAGAAGCTTATTTTACTGGAATTAATGAACATTTAGATTTATCATGAAAAAAAATCAGAAAACAAAAGGGTTCATGTCAGCAGAGTCACTTTCAGACTTCAGAGAAGGATTCTGACATTGGTTTTTTTGAATTGGTGGTGCATATTTACTGGACTTTTTCCAGTAAATACTCTGTGCCTTACATTTTGTTAAAGCACATGGGTTAGTGGTGAAGTGCCTAAAGCCTCTGTGTTTTATGTAGTGGTTTTTATAGTGCTCAACAAATCAAAGCAAATCACACGCCTTGATAAAATGCCTGTGTTGTTATTTCAGTCACACCTCTTGTGCAAAGTTCGCCTGTTGGCACAGCTTTGAAGAAATATCTCTGCACTTTAGATGCTTGCACATATTCTGAACCAGAATCCGGTCTGTGTTCCTGGAAGCTCATTTCAGGCACTCTTGATGCTTTTAGCTGTATGTTTTGGGTCAATATCTCTTAAGCATACTCTACGTTTAACATTAAATATGGTGTTCTTTTCTTTAAAACCTTGGTTTTCTGTGTCTGTGGAAAGGAAACTGCTATGGTTATGTCATGGTCGCCTGCCACTTCAGAGGTCCAAGACAAATAATCTAATAAGCATGTGCTTTGACCACAGATTACAACGCAATTATAACAAAATACTTTGTACAGCTAGCAAAGTGACCAGGCTGCTTTTTTAAATTTTTTTAATTTTATTTTTATTTTTTTTGCAAATGCAGGTTTTGCTGCAGGTACACACAGCGGGTAAAATAAGTATTGAACACGTCAACATTTTTCTCAGTAAATACATTACTAGAGGTGCTAATGACATGAAATTTTCACCAGATGTYGGTAACAACCCAAGTGATCCATACATACAAAGAAATCAAACCATAAATGTCCAGAAATGAAGTTATTTGTAATAATGTGGAATGGCACAGGGAAAAAGTATTGAACACACTTACTGAAATTTATCTAATACTTTGTACAAAAGTCTTTGTTGTCAATGACAGCTTCAAGACGCCTCCTGTATGGAGAAACTAGTGGCATGCATTGCTCAGGTGTGATTTTGGCCCATTCTTCCACACAAACAGTCTTCAAATCTTGAAGGTTTCGTGGACCTCTTCTATGAACTCTGATCTTTAGTTCTTTCCATAGATTTTCTGTTGGATTCAGGTCAGGTGATTGGCTGGGCCATTCCAGCAGCTTTAGTTTCTTTCTCTGAAACCAACTGAGAGTTTCCTTGGCTTTGTGTTTGGGCTCATTGTCTTGCTGAAATGTCCAGCCACGTTTCATCTTCATCATCCTGGTAGATGGAAGCAGATTTTTATCAAGAATGTCTCTGTACATTTTTCCACTCATCCTTCCTTCAATTATTTGAAGTTTGCCAGTACCATATGCTGAAAAACAGCCCCACACCATGATGTTCCCACCTCCAAACTTCACTGTTGGTATGGTGTTTTTGGGCTGATGTGCAGTGCCATTTGACCTCCAAACATGATGTGTATTCTGGCATCCAAACAGTTCAATGTTGGTCTCATCTGACCAGACTATATTCTCCCAGTATTACACAGGCTTGTTTAAATGTTGTGCAGCAAACTTTAAAGGAGCTTCAACATGCTGTTTCTTCAGCAGTGGAGTCTTGCGTGGTGAGCGTGCATACAGGCCATGGTGGTTCAGTGCATTACTTATTGTTTTCTTTGAAACAATCGTACCTGCTAATTCCAGGTCTTTCTGAAGCTCTCCACAAGTGGTCCTTGGCTCTTGGACAACTCTTCTGATAATTCTTTTCACTCCTCTGTCAGAAATCTTGTGAGGAGCACCTGGTCGTGGTCGGTTTATGGTGAAATAATGTTCTTTCTACTTCTGAATTATGGCCCCAACAGTGCTCACTGGAACCTTCAGAAGTTTAGACATTCTTCTGTAACCGATGCCATCATTATGCTTTGCAACAATAAGGTTGTGAAGGTCTTGAGAGAGCTCTTTACTTTTACCCATCATCAGATGGTTCTTGTGTGATACCTGGCCATCATTTGGGACTGAACCAGCTGATATTAACTTGCACTGACAAGGGGCAGGCTTGTTTTCTAATTACTGAGAGAGTTCAGCTGGTGTCTTAGCTTTCCATGCCTTTTTACACCTCCCTTTCTTCATGTGTTCAATACTTTTTCCCTGTGCCATTCCACATTATTACAAATAACTTCATTTCTGGACATTTATGGTTTGATTTCTTTGTATGTATGGATCACTTGGGTTGTTACCAACATCTGGTGGAAATTTCAGGACATTAGCACCTCTAGTAATATATTTACTGAGAAAAATGGTGACGTGTTCAATACTTATTTTACCCGCTGTATATACAGTATACTGTATATGCGTAAGCCTATTCAGTGACACTTAAAGGAGGAGTGGGTTAAAGTGCTGGCAGATGCCGACCTCTCATTGTGTAGTAGAAGGATTGTTTATTGGCAGTGATGGTGCTCCTAAATGTTAAATTAAGGCTGCTATTGTTTTATGGTTTGTCATTTTATTTTGTTAAATGTGGAATAAACCATGAATGCCATAAAACGTTTGTCATTTTAAGATTTTTTTCTTTTTTTTTTTTTGTGAGTGTAACCATGACTGTTGTGGTGTGTTTTCAGATGGCGAACAAAGCAGAACTTGGACTTCAGCTTCCTCATGCTTTATGCTCAGGACAAAGGAACGTATTATGTTCAGGTGAATGTAATCTTCAAATGAACATCAGATGTTGGTGTGAACATACAGCCCAGGGGTTCTGGAGTAGTTCTGTTTCACACTTTGCTAACTTGTGGCATTAGTTATGATGCTGTAGCTTTTTTAAAGAAAGAAACCTGGTAACACACTGTACTGGCCCAGCTCTTTGTTGGTTTGAAGTTTTATTTTGAAATTCATTTGATAAAATGGTGTCATTTAATCCTGATTGCTACACTTATTATTATTACTGAAAACCCTTGAAGTAGAATGAGCTAGAGGAGAAAAACATGTGTTTTTAATAGTTTTAATGTGTTGATTTCAGTTAGAAGACGATGTTGTTGCAAAGACCGGTTACTACTCCGACATGAAGGCATTTGTGACCCAGACTGCTTCAGATGAGTGGCTCTACCTGGAGTTCTCCCAGCTTGGCTTCATAGGTATCCATCCACAACTGAGCCTTGCTCCTGTTTTAAAGAAGTCTTCTGACAGCAAACGTGTTTTCCAGGGAAAATGTTCAGGACTCGAGACCTCCCGTTGATTGCTGAGTTTTTCCTGATGTTCCACAAAGACAAACCCATCGACTGGCTGTTGGATCACATTCTGTGGGTGAAGGTCTGCAACCCTGAGAAAGATAACGTGAGTCCACTGCAACACGGCCAGTATTCTGACCATGATGTCAATCCAGGAAGAAAAATATTATTTTTTTATTTCAGCAGTGAAAACTGGTCTTTGTTAGTTTGGACACTTTGCTGAGCTTTAAAGGATGAGTTAACAATGGAGTCTAACACTTAAAGGTTTTAAAGTTCATCACTGCCTGAGACCAAAGCAGTGATCCAATGTTAACCCTAAACCCTCCCCACCATCTCCCACCTGTACATCTGAGATGAGACCAATGAGGGTGATGTCATCTGCAAGCTTAAAGGATTTTACAGATTGGTGACTGGAGGTGTTGGGGTACAGGCAGAAGAGGGGTGGAAAAAAACACAGCCTTTATGGGGGAATCCAGTGCTGATGAACCAGGGGTCTTACCTTACACCAAGATGGCAGCTCTCTTGGCGTACATGCTGCTAACAAATAACTGTAAGTACACCGATACTGGTCAAATTCTGAGGAAGTCGTTCAAAACAGGAGACAGCATTGAACCACCTCCTGTAAACTTTTAGCCGATCAAAGTGACCAAGCATTTACGACACGGGAGACACGCCTGAGCTGTTACCTTTTATTCACCCACTCTTCCACAGCAGAGTCATAAAACAAGCAAATTTCTGTTAATGATTGTCATAATCCTCTGCATTTGAAGGAGTTTGATTTCACGCTCATCATTTAATAAAGGGAGCACTGTTTTTGGAAAAAGCTAAGAGCTTCCTGGACAGGAGCGGTTGTGTTGGTGCTTTATTCCTGGACTTCGAGAAGGATTTTGATAGTGTGGACCACAAGATTCTTTTAATTAAATTAACTCATTTAAAATTTTTCAGAAAAAGCCATAAACTGAATGAAATCCTATCTTACTAAGAGTATGCAATGTTGTAGTCAATGGTGTCGAATTGCCATACCATGTAGTACTGTGGGAGTTCCACAAGGTTTCGTACTAAGACCGGTTGTTTTTTCACTTTACATAAATGACCTTCAAAAAGTATGTGAGAACACTCATCTTCAAATGTATGCAGATGATGCAGAGTTATAAACTCTGACAAAAACACACAGGAAGCCAGCTGTATTCTTACATCTGAAATGGCCCAGGTTCATGAGAATGCCCCAGGGTTAACGCCTTTAAGATCCAACTAAAGAACTGGCTGAAATCAAGTCATCAATGTCTCCATTAGAACACATAGGATCAGAAATAACTCTGTTATTCTTTTTGTTTGTTTAATGAAATGTGTTGTCTTTTGAAATTTTATTGTATATTTGACAAAGATGTGTAATTTTAATTTTAAGGCTAGCTCCAATAACTGCTAAAGACTACCGATGAAAATGAGCTTATTGTGAGGTTCGGACAGGAACAGATCCAGGGCGCAGGCAGGCTCAAAAATGTAACAAAAATTATTTATAAATAACTGAAGGAGGGCTGCTGGCAGCAAACTTACAAGTATGGAGAGTCACAGGCACGAGGGGAACAGAGCACGAGGAACACATGGAACAATCAAACAATGAACCGACATCAGACTGAGACAGGACAGGGTTTAAATACACAGACTACTAATTACTGAAACACAAAACACCTGAGGAGAAACACGAGGGTGACAATCAGACAGACAGGGAGCAGCTGAGCTGTGACACACTGGGGAACACTGAAAAACACTAGAAAACTAAGAAAATAAACACAGATCATGACACTTATTTTGGCTAACTCAGGCACATTTACATTGTATGACGTTGTTTCCTGTGCATTGTCCTTTGACAAATAAATACATTGAAAGGGGTCTAACCCTTCAGCTTGATGTGCTGTTTCCTGTCAGACAGGAAGTCTGGGATCTATCTGCAGATGAAGTCAGTTTGAGGGGCTTGTTGTGTAGCAGAGTATGGATAATGAGTTTAAATTTGGTAAAAAGATGCAACTTTTACATCTGTCTGTCTGAACATGATGATTGTCATAACCAACCCTAACCCTCCTGTAATAAACTGATGTTGAACTTTGTTCTTACAGTTGTCCTTCTCTGTGTGTGTAATCTTTTGCAGAAAGACTGTGACCAACAGAAGGCCTTACTGAAGCAAAGATACAAGCCATCTCTCTTTCAGCATGTGGGGCTCCACTCCTCCTTACCTGGGAAAATACAGCAGCTGAAGGTGAAAGGACGTCTAATCTCTGAGAAATGACCAAAGTTAATTCCACTAGTTTAGTGAACATAATATGACACACATAGATGTCAGTCTGTGCTCCCATTGTTTCTGTGAGATGTCGTTTGAACTATTCAGGAAAAACAGCTTAAAGGAATCAACATGTTCAAGGTTCCAACCAACCAGTTTGGTGTAAGGCTTGTTATTAGGGGTCCAAGCCCGAGGAAGCAGGGTAACGCAGCTGCAAAGCAGCAGCGTTTCCATGTCTCCATC